GAAATATACTAAAGTTGAAATGGAACTTATTGTGGATCCTGAAATTCATACGTTTTTAAAAACTAGTATTCGAGGTGGTATTACTCAAAGCACCCAAAGGTTGTCCGAGTCAAATAATAAGTTTAATGAAAATTATGATGAAAGCAAGTCTGAAAATTATTTGGTCTATATGGATGCAAACAATTTGTATGGATGGGCCATGTCTCAAAAACTTCCATATGCAAACTTCCAATTTTCAAGCGAAAATGAGGTAAAAGATTTTGATATTTACTCCATTGATATCCAGGGAAGTAGTGGTTACATTTCGGAAGTTGACCTAAATTATCCGCCTGATATTCATGATCAACATGATTGCCTACCTTTCTGTGCAGACAATAAAATTCCTCCTACAAATATAAAAAACTCATAGCAGATTTAACTCATAAAATGAATTATAAGTATCATTTAAACAATCTGCTCCTCTGCTTGCAACACGGGTTGCAATTAATATGCATTCACAGAATACTAAAATTTACTCAAAGGGCTTGGTTAGAGCCCTACATTAGTTTAAACACCAATAGAAGAAAAGTTGCCAAGAATGAGTTTGAGAAGAAATTCTATAAGCTAATGAATAATGCTGTGTATGGGAAAACCATAGAAAAGGTTGCAAATCGCCGAGACGTTCGCTTAGTAAATAGTTATGAAAACAGAAGTAATTCTGAAGGGTATAGGGCTCTCATAGCCAAACTTAACTTCAAGGGCATCGAAATATTCGATAATGGTTTGTATGGAGTTGAGCTAAATAAATTGGAAATTATTCACGATAAACCGATATATGTGGGGGTAACTGTGTTAGAACTCTCTAAATGGTTGATGTATGATTTCTATTATAACTTTTTACTTAACCAGAGCGAAACAATAAAGATTATATATATGGATACAGATTCATTTATATTAGCGTCTGATGGTAATATATATGACATTATTAAAAATAACCCTAATAAATTTGACACATCAGATTATCTACCCGGCAATATACATTATATAATTCCTAATA